AAGCATCCGCATCTGGCGTGATAACTGTATCCCAAGGGCTCACGGTATGAAGCCTATTTGCAGCTGTCGTCCTTGCAGACTTAGACGGGTCTCTCATTTAATTGATGCTAGGTCTGGTTCCTGGGATGAAACTCTTGTTAGAAGGTATTTCCATGCGTGTGATGTTGCGGAGATTTTGAAGATCAAAATTCCACGATTAGGAGGTGCGGATTATGTGGCTTGGCACTATGAAAAGAATGGCATTTTCTTTGTTAGAAGTGCTTATAGGCTGGATATGAGACGAACACACGGTGAAGCGGAAATTGAAAGCAGCTCCACTACCTTTGATGGCCGGAAGGTTTGGAAGGCTTTGTGGTCTGCACATGTGCCTGAAAAAGTGAAGGTTTTTGCATGGAAGGTGGCAAATAACGGCATCCCCACCCAAGCAACACAAGCGCTACCGTCACCTCTCTCAGGTGGAATCATGTGAGTTATGTGGATTTGGGAGTGAGGATATGCCTACGTGCAGTGTCCTCATGTAGTAGCCCTCCGACATGCCATGAGGGCTCACTGGGTGTTACCGGTTGAGGAGGATTTGATACAGACGGGTCCGGACTGGTTGCTGGTTCTACTGAATCATTACTCCCCGGAGGTGATTGATAACTTCCTGATGGTTCTATGGCGTGCATGGTCTGTGAGGAATAGTATATTGTGGGCTGGTTAGAAGCTTTCGATCGAAGGATCCGTTACTTTTCTCACAAGGTATATGGATTCTCTTGTGCTCCTCCGACAAAAGAATGTGCAAACTGATGGCAAAGGGAAACAGTGTATGCTGAATGGTGGGGCGATGCCAAGAACTGTGCCGGAGCCGCGAGTGCGCAAGAGATGGATACCGCCGTCCTTTGGTGCTCTGAAGATTAATGTAGATGAAGCTTTCCTTCATGAATCCGGCAAAGCTGCGGTGGGAGTGATTAGCAGGGATCATGGAGGTTGTGCAAAACTTACAGCTTAGTGCCTTCTACTTCATTGCAGGGATCAGAAGAAGCCGAGGCTGCGGCATGCCGTGAAGGGATTGCTATGGCTGCTCGCTGGCCTGATCTTCCTATGGTGCTTGAAACGGATTGTGCTGTTATTGCTGAGAAGCTGAAGAGCAAGGAGAAAGATCGGTCGGTGGCGTGGTCGATTTTACATGAAGCGCTGCAGGCGATGGAGGATCTTCATAGTTTAGAGGTGGTTAAGATTAGTAGAAGTCAAAATAATGTAGCTCATGAACTTGCCCATTTTGCTCTTAGGTCAGGTAGTAGTCAGGTCTTTTTTGGTTTTTTTTCTGAGTTTGTTCAGTTCTTGGTCTGTAATGATACGACTTGAGTTTTAATAAAAGTTTATTTATACGCAAAAAAAATACAGGTAAGGGAACCGTTCACGCTGGCCGCGGCCTCTACAAACACACATTCGGGCCACGCACGTCCAAACCGGTAGTGGCGCCACTAAGCAACAGAGTGCGCGTGTATCACGTTGGCAGTGAAGTGACCCTGGATTGGACTCATGTCCTGAAGAACGAAGACGGACGAATCGTGAAGGCGTGACCACGCAGCTAGCCTAGGACCCGAGCTTGTTTTAAAGCCACGGCCCACGGCCCCGCACGAGAGCGAGCCATGCATCCATCGCCGGCGGCCGGACAAGCGCAAGCCCGACCCCTGCCTCTCCACACAGGTCTCGAACCATACAGGAGTTCAATCTGTGCCTGTCTTGTGTCACCATGAACACGGCGGCGGCGCCGCCCGTGGAGCCGCACTTGGCTCTTCCGGCTTCCATACCCTCTTGGCCCTCGTCGGGTACATGCAAACTTCTCGCTGCTTTCTCTTTCTCCGTCTTTCTCCTTCAATTCGCTAGCTCTTTTATGATTTTATTTATTATCTGATTCAGAACAAAATTTGGTGGTGTGTGCTTGTGTTGTCTTGCTCCTGGTCCTGGATTCCTGCTTCGGTAGCAGCTAGCTTGCCTGCAATTACGAGCAACGAGCATGCATGCATTTGCTAAATTCATGAGCGGGATCCTCCTTTAACAAGACAAACACTGTTCAACATATGATCAGATGATGATATAAGCACAGACTGCACACTATAATAATACTAAAAGAAGGGTAATCTTGACCCTTTATCGTGCCAAAGTATCTTTGGAAGTTATATTTTTTAGATTACGGAATAAAAAATATTCCAGTCTTCACATTCACAGGTGAATGCTTATGGCCAAGTAATACAAACAGGGAGCTTAGCCCACAATTCCGCTAGGCAGACAAAGAAGAACCTCTAAAAATCTGACATCTCACACCTGAGACTGCCGACACAAATAGATCTCTAAAATCATGACATCTCACACCTGAGAATGCCGATACAAATAGATCACTGATCACATTTCATAACTCCTTGACGAGGAGAGTGACAAAACAAAAACCATAGGACTCTACAGTCCTAACCTTCGCTGGTTCTTCCACACATGAGCTCCAAAAAATTGCAGCACCACACCTTCCAGACGTCTACATCCTTCTTTCAACGTCCCTCTCTCTTCCTCTTTAGACAACAGGGACCATTGCCTGATCAAAAAGTCTCCCTAAAAATTACCTGCAAAAGAGTGTTAGCAACTAGAACACCGTGTCATTTCTATTCAACCACAAGACCCAACACATTGCCACTATTCCCACAATTATTTAATTTCTTAGCCCTGGAGCAAAGCTCCTTATCCAAGATCCAAACATGTGAAACATGCTACTTTGTGGTTGAATGTTAAAAGGTGATGAACAGCGCATTCCAAACAAACCTAGCCACACGGCAATCGAAAAAAAGATGTTGAATAATTTCTTCTAAACCACAGAAATTACACTTAGAATCGCCTTTCTATCCTCTCTTCATTAAATTATTTTTTGTTAAAACCACCCCCTCCTTTTAAGTACCACAGAAATATTTTAATTTTTAAAGGCAATTTAGCCTTCCATAACACTTCTTTCCCTGAGCTTCTCTCCCTCTTCATTATTTCTCTATACAGCGATTGTGTTAAGAAAACTCCATTTTTCTTTATTAGCCAAATGAAGTTATCCTTGTCATTGTTTAAAGTGACCGGTAGTACTAAAGATACTAGCGTGAGCCACTCTTTTAGCCTCTCCCCCACTATATATAATTGTCTTTGTTCACACTTCAGAGTTAGCATAGCTTCTGTAGCTAGTTTCTGGTTTTTGTTCTTATCCCGCCATTTCTTTTTATAAGGCGTAGTAGGACTTAAGAAAACTCTTTAAAGGTATGCCTCCACCATTCTCAAATTTCTCTTAGGGGCCGTTTGGATCCCTTTATTTTAGAGGAATTAAAATCTACATAATAGATTAGGCTATTTGGCTTGAAATTGGACATTCTATAACTTTTTCAAGCTCACAAATAAACTTATCTCAAATTTATAGGATATATGATGAAAATATATTCTATAGATCATTATGCTATAATTATGTTCTCCAACTTATAGCACACTCTTCAACTCACTTTCTTACGATAGAAATACAATGTATAAGTATGTCTCTCGAATGTCTAACAATAAATATACAAATATATTCCATATACAACTATATTAGCTTAATTAATCTATGCCTAAATTGTAATTATTAGAATGAATTCTATGCTTAATTATTCTATAGAAATTGTAATTATATTCTAAATCCAATGTAAGGGTCTGTTTGGAATGCGATATTTTTTTCCCATTCCTGCGTTTTTTCTGTGAAATTGAACTGATTCCTATAAAATTCCTATGTGATTCCTGTGAAATTCCTGTGTTCCAAACATGCACTAAGAGTCTATTGATATATCTTTTGTGCTCGAAAACATTCATAGATTTTGACTAATTGATCGGCGGGACGGACGGTGACCGACCTCGCCATGTGGTTCTTCTACCCGTTCAACGGGCCGGCGCGGGCAAGGTCGACCTGGCAGCTCGGCAGCATCGACTCGCACGTCGGCGACTGGGAGCACCTGACGTTCCGGGTGAGCAACTTCTCCGGGAAGCTCCTCCGGGTGTACTTCTCGCAGCACAGCGCGGGCACCTAGGGTGAACGCGCCCGAGCTGGAGTACGCGTCGCTGCACGGGCACGCGTTCTACCTGAGGGCGCAGGCGCAGGGCTGGAGCTGCAGGGATCCTCGATGTTTGGGATACGTAACGACACCGCCAAGGGCCGGGAGCAGGTTGGTGGTGGACACCAGCGGCGCCGGAGGTCGGACGCTGCGAGGTGGTGTCGGCGGAGTACCTTGGCGTCGCCGAGCCGGCGTGGCTCGGCTTCATGCGCCCGTGGGGCCCAACGGAGGTGTACGACATCGGGCGCGTGATCAACGGCCTCAAGCGGTTTCCGCTGCCGCGCTCGGTGCGGGAGCAGCTGGACATGCTGGTGGCCGGGGAAGGGGCGACGGGGGCCCAAGAAGCATGGAAGCTGGATAAACGATGAGAGGGACCCCAACTGAGCCTTTTCTACAATCTGATGATGATGATGGTCACCGGCGACCAAGATTTGAACCGAGATAATTAGTCACAGCCTTATCGAAGGTTGTCCATACCATAATGAAAAGGGTCCTTTGTCCAAATTTACTCCCACTCTCTTCCACCTAATAAAACGCCAAAAAGCATGATCCTAAAGGTCATCAGGCACCAGCATGTTCAGCACTGCTTCAAGGTCATCAGGCACCAACTCTGCCATTCCTGACAATCAGGCATCAGCATCGTTTAACGGTTTAAGCCTTTTATTAAGGTATACTTTCACATTGGGATCAGAATTAATTTATATTCATCTTATTGAAATAAGGAAAGACACTGCTCATGGTTGGATACACGTGTATAAGGACTGGGCTACCATATATAGTTGCATACTTACATGCATCTGTTGCATTTTATTTTTCTGGACTGCGATGCATCACGCTTACATGCACATACTGACATACCGATCCGTTAGCCATCTCAGCTCCGGGCACCATACTGCTGTACAACTTCAACGGTCATGCAGATGGGCCATCGAACGATTGGCTTTTCCTCAGGTTCCAGTGGAGACCCTCATGGATGCTTCGCAGGAAGTCGGTTGTCGAGTCCGCAAGGCACGCTGTGGGTACAGGCCAAGGGGAAATACTGCAGATGAGCGCATCACCTGGTCCTAGCTGAATCCTGCCCTTGCCATCAAAGGATGCCCAAGCCTGCCCCCTGCTATTGAATGGCACTTGCACGCGCAGAGTTACATATTCTGGTAGAATCAACGGCCTGAATGACAACGAGTGCGGACAGATTGGTGTGAAAAGGATCCCCGGTACCTGCATATACCAGCAAAACATATCATTAGAATGGCAGCAAGAGTAACTTGCATTGATAAATCTAGAAAGAAATAATTATCAAGGTCAACCAGAAAGGGCATGTACTTCGAAACAGACATTGGGCCAGCTAGCAAATGAAAACACTAATTTTATGCCTGTTTCAGACAGGTGAATCTTAATCAAAAGGTTGGTTTCACTATCCACAGTTACATTTCATCAGATATCATGAGCTTTTGCTACACCGCACAACTCTTTAGGTAACGTTAAGTAGCATAAGTTGCATTAAGTAGAAGACAGCGATTCCTTATAAATAAAATAAAATAATTAGGGTGATGTTTTTGGGTGCTTGTCCTTCAGCTCATTTGGGAGTTTCACACACCATGTGTAGAAAATGAATAGACTACACACTTTTGGAGAACCTTAACACTAAATTCTGCAATGCTAAACAAAATCTGCAGACCAAACCATATGCAGGGCACGGGTCTACCTGTGGATGAACCATTGATCCTCCAGCTGCCAATGAATATGCAGTGCTTCCAGATGTTGTTGATATTATTAGCCCATCTCCTTGTACGCGTGTAACATAAGAACTGTCACAGTAGCATTCTAGGTAGGTAAGGTAAGATGACATTCCACGGTCAATTGTCACTTCATTTAGTACTAGAATTGGTTCCTCAGTCTCATCTTGCTCCTTAGCTGCATCACGGATCACATGACACTGCAGACGGCTCCTCAATGTGATGCTAAATGGTTGTTTTAGCACATTGCCCAAACATTCACGGTATTGCTCGCTTGCTTAACATGAGCTAAGGACCAATATATTGCTATGGTGGGTGAGCATGGAGCAGAAAGCTCCTTTGAGTAAATAAAATTTCATAATTCTACAGATTATGTGCACCGGCACAAAAAATGTAAGCGCCCTGCCACCCTAGGTATAAATATAAATGGAACTGCCATATATACTGACATATAAGTGAACTTGAATTAGTTGAAAATTCTGTAAGAAATACTGTCTGTACAGAGAGATCTGACCTATATCAAGGTTCCACACTTGAGAGTATAGATTTATAGATTTAAATTACATTTATGTGTGTCAATGGCAGAAATCATATTCACTAATTATTTATAAGGGTCTAAAGATGATGTGAGAAATATGACACCAAGAAGGATAAGCCTTATTGATGTATTTATTAGCTGGAATGTTTTATATGAACTGGTAGGGAGGCTAAGAATAGCTAAATTCATCATTAGTTCCAAACTGAAAATGAAACTGTCAACTTGTGCCTGTTTGGTTTCCTCCAGATTGAGCCGCCATCAGCCAAAGCACTACAAATTACAGAAGACGGTGAACTGGTTACCAAAGTTGTCTGAAGTTGCTTCAAGGAACTCACGAATTGATACATGTGGTTCCCTGCGGATTCCCATGTCATATCCATCGACATTAGCCCTAACTACATGTTGATGGCTGGATGTGATACAGAATGTCAACCACATTGCCATGTTAATAACAGGTGTATGTTACCAATTTAAAACTTACACATCAAGCTCAAGTGCTCAACCAGTAGAAGGGATGGCAACAAGGCCAATTCCCTCTGCGCTTGTTCAAGTAGTGCATAGAAAAATTGTGAATGATAGTATACATGGCTAGCAGATCAGGTTCATGTGGGATGTCTACCTGTCTTCAATGTCCCATCCCAGTGTTTGAGATCAATGCTCCTCCCAGGAAGGGACTTCTATCATCCCCACCTCCCCATACATACTGTACCAACATGGTTATCAAGCATTCAACACTGATAATTAAGGATACGGAATGGAGTCATGAATCCCAATGATCCAAGAGAGAACGCAACAACAGGGGGAACTGGCCCTTTGAATAATGATGCAGCCTGTTAAGAGATTTTAACCAGTTGCCTAGATTAATCAGATTATCATAATGAGACATAAATACTTATATTTACATGAGAATAACAGAATAGGGACACTTTGCAATTATTACTCACTCGGTTCCAAATTGTAAGTTATTTTCTAAGTACATAGCTTTTGCTATGCACCTAGATATACGCTATGTCTAGATACATAACAAAAGCTGTATACCTAGAAAAGTCAAAACGACTTATAATTTGAAACGGAGGGAGTATAATGTTATAGACCAACTCTTGCCAACTGAATATGCTAACCACATGGAGATATAAAACAGGGTTCATTCTATTTCTTCTAATCAATACAACACTGTAATTCAAGAGTGCAGAGAAAAACTCATAAAATAAATTTCTATCGACATAGGAATTAGGAACACTTACAGGACATTCAATATTACAAGGATTTTATTTTCCTTTGAGTATAAGAAAAAGAATGCCACTTTCTTTTCTCGAACACATAGAAGAGCTACATATCATTATATATTAAAGAGAAGATAAGGGTATAAAACCCTTACAACATCACACACACAGAATGCTACATTATTTCACTAAAATGTTGCAGTAACCAATGAGTTTACTGTGTTTAACTGACCACAAAATATCCATACTCACAGTAAACTGTCACATAACTCAAGGAGCATACCCACAAAACAGTTCCGTCACCGCCAAGAGTTACAATCAGATCAATTTTCGTATGTAATGTCTTTGCTTCCTGATCTGTCAAAATATATTTTGATTAGTTGGATGCCAAAAGGAAAGGTTTACAGGTGGGTAAAATAAGTACATAAAAAATATCTTAAACTATTGAAAAATAAGGATACCATGAAGAAAATAATAGCAAAAGAACTTTAACAGATATAATTCACCAATGGAAAAGAAACTGCTTGATAATAGATGACCGAATCAAGAATTATTAGCAAGTCAGCAACATTCCCAGCACATGGTAACAACTATTGAGTTGATATCTTCTTGGTAAAGGAAAAGGTCAAACTTGGTGAGTGATTGGAAAGAAAAATTCCACAAGGTAATCTGATCCCATACCAATTTCAACGTGCTACAGTAAAGAAACCACCAGAGAGCCAACTGAATATGAGATGGCACCAAAATGTACCCAGAAAACTCCAAGGCAAGGTGTAGAAATTTGTATCTCAATTACTTTTTCATGCTTAGTCAGGTCCATAAGCAAAACAGATTGGATTATCATTCCTTATGTAATCACAAAATAAATCACAATATATTTATTTTTCACTCTCATAAGAACTGGCCATATACATTGTTGATATAGAAAATTATCGGTACTAAATGAACACACACTTGCTGGTGACATATGACTATATGTCACAAATCCGGAAGGAGCGAAACAAAAGGATTTGTAGTGTTGACTTTCGAAAGGAAATGAAACCTGATATGGGCCTCACATCAAAATGTATAAAAAGCCACTTACCATTATTACATGTCTGGATAAAGCTGAAGTAAGAATCTTCAGCCAGTAGTTCCTTTCTAACCCGTGGCTCTACGAATACATTCATATTGTTGTGCTCTTTAAGCCATCTGCAGAAAATGCAGCAGAGGAGATACAAATATATCAACTATATACAGTTGCACATGACAATAAACTCGCAGAGCATCGATTACAACAAAAATTGCAATATAATGAATAACTCCAGATAATTGATGTAAGTTAAGAACATTCAGACAAGGCATGAAAGGAGAATACCTAACCATTTCAGCGCAGAGAGCAAGCACAGAGTTGGAATTAGGTTTAGTAACAAAAAGAACTGTTTGCGGAGGGGATTCCCATTTTAGCAAAATCTGAAAAAGCACAATATTTGTTGAGATATAATAATGCAGCAGTAATTAGACTATCTCAATGATCATTCATAGTGGAAACAAATAGGACATTGTGTTCAAAATGAATTGCGCTGAACATAAAGGAGTACCTGCTTATTGCTGCGCTCCGCTGTTTTTATGTCACCTTTTTCGAAGGACACAAAATCACGCTTGTGCTGACCATTCTTATCCCCATCGCATCCCCATACAAGTCTAAAAGGTGCCTGGATAAACAAGAAAAAAATGTTTTAGTGTTCATGAAAAGTATTTGACTTAACTATGAACTCATTATTATTTCTTCTAATTGCACCAGAACTTGAAATAGTGCCCAGGTTAGCACTATCAGAAACCAAGTGTTATAGTCAACAACTATTACTCATGGCAGGGCTTGCTTCTCCAATTGATTGAGCTACTTTAAGCTTTGTGTGCACATCTATAAAGAGGAGGACAAAAACAATTCCAATCTAAATAGAGCAATGATGGGAAGGTTCAGGAGGTGGATCAATGATATGGAGGTCACTGAAATTCCTCTCCACGGTCGTAAATATGCATGGACCAGCTCCTTCACTAATGCTTCCCCTACGCTAGTTAGGCTGGACAGAATCTTCTGCTCACTGGATTGGGAGGAGCAGTTCCCAGGTTGTCTCCTACAGAGTGGTGCTTCTATTGATTCAGACCACTGTCCCCTGATCCTTGGGCTGCAGGAAATTATCGGCAGCAGGCAAAGATTTCATTTTGAAGCTTTCTGGCCCTCTCTAGATGGATTCATGGATGCTGTGAGGGATGCTTGGGAGAGTGTACAACCCAGTCATTGCCCTCTCCAAACCCTTGCCTCGAAACTTAAGACAACAGCCAGAGGATTACAGAGCTGGAGTCAGAGGAAGTGTGGACACATCAAATCTCAGTTGCTATTGGCAAAAGAAATCATCCACCAGTTTGAAATTGCACAAGAAAGCAGGCCTCTTCAACCCAATGAATTATGGCTGCGTAACAATCTCAAGAAACACTCTCTGGCTCTAGCATCCCTGCTGAGAACAATAGCCAGACTCAGGTCCAGGATAGGCTGGTTAAAGGAAGGGGATGCCAACACAAGACTTTTTCATCAGCATGCAAGATATAGGAAAAAGAAGAATTTCATTCCCAAACTGCATGAAGGAGATCAGGTCATCACAAAACATGAAGAGAAGGCAGCTGTTGTTCTGGATTTTTATGACAATCTCATTGGAACAGAATGCGCTAGGGAAAGAACTATCAACCTAGACTTCCTTGGCAGTCCAAGCTTTGAGCTAGAATCTTTGGATTTGCCTTTCTCAGAAGAAGTTTGGAACACCATAAAGGAACTGCCATCTGATAAGGCTCCTTGACCCTGATGGGTTCACTGGCAGATTCTACAAAAGCTGTTGGACAATTATCAAGAATGATGTGATGGCAGCAGCTCACTCTCTTTGGAGTAGAAATTTCAGAAATCTCTGGAAACTGAATTCTGCCTACATTACTCTGATTCCAAAAAAAGCCAAATGCTGTTGAAGTCAAGGACTATAGGCCCATTAGCTTGGTTCACAGTTTTGCCAAGCTAGTGACCAAAATCTTGGCTAATAGGCTTGCAGGCCGGCCAGATGAGATGGTGTCCCCCAATCAGAGTGCTTTCATCAAAAAAAGGTTCATTCAAGATAATTTCATGGAAGGGCGGTCCTGGTGCAAGCGGTAGAGTCTTACCGCCGGTGACCGGAAGGTCCCGGGTTCGAGTCGTGGTCTCCTCGCATTGCACAGGCGAGGGTAAGGCTTGCTACTAACACCCTTCCCTAGACCCCGCACAGAACGGGAGCTCTCTGCACTAGGTATGACCAAGATAATTTCATGATGGTCCAACAGACTATAAAATTCTTACACTCTCAAAAACAGCCCAGAATACTCCTGAAGTTAGACATCACCAAAGCTTTCGACTCAGTGTCCTGGGCTTTCCTATTGGAGGTTCTTAGAAAGTTGGGTTTTGGTTCTCGCTGGTGTGACTTAATTTGTGGTCTCTTAACAACATCATCCACCCAGGTCCTCCTCAATGGCATCCCAGGAGAAAGTATAAATCACAGAAGGGGACTGAGACAGGGAGACCCTCTATCCCCTATGCTCTTCATTCTGGTTATGAATGTCTTAAATTGGATGTTCACAAGGGCTTCTGAAGTTGGGCTGTTACAGCCCTTATCCAGGAGACCAATCCAACACAAAGTCTCTTTATATGCTGATGATGTAGCCCTTTTCCTCCAGCCCATTGCAGCAGACATTAATTTGTCATTACAGCTATTGCAATTATTTGGGGAAGCTTCAGGCCTCAAGACCAACAACAACAACAACAATAAAGCCTTTAAGTCCCAAACAAGTTGGGGTAGGCTAGAGTTGAAACCCAGCAGAAGCAATCAAGGTTCAGGCACGTGAATAGTTGTTTTCCATGCACTCCTATCTAAGGCTAAGTCTTTGGATATATTCCATCCTTTCAAGTCTCCTTTTATTAACTCTACCCAAGTCAACTTCGGTCCTCCTCTATCTTTCTTCACGTTACTATCCTGGCTTAGGATTCCACTACGCACCGGTGCCTCTGGAGGTCTCCGTTGTACATGTCCAAACCATCTCAACCGGTGTTGGACAAACTTTTCTTCAATTGGTGCTACCCCTAATCTATCACGTATATCATTGTTCCGAACTCGATCCCTTCTTGTATGACCGCAAATCCAACGCAACTTGCGCATTTCCACGACACTTATCTGTTGAACATGTCGACTTTTCGTAGGCCAACATTCTGCACCATACAACATAACAGGTCTAATCGCCGTCCTATAAAACTTGCCTTTTAGCTTCTGTGGTACCCTTTTGTCACATAGGACACCAGATGCTTGGCGCCACTTCATCCACCCTGCTTTGATTCTATGGCTAACATCTTCATCAGTATCCCCGTCTCTCTGTAGCATTGATCCTAAATATCGAAAGGTATCCTTCCTAGGCACTACTTGACCTTCCAAACTAATATATTCCTCCTCCCGAGTAGTAGTGCCGAAGTCACATCTCATATACTCAGTTTTAGTTCTACTAAGTATAAAACCTTTGGACTCCAAAGTCTCCCACCATAACTCCAGTTTCTGATTCACTCCTATCCGACTTTCATCAACTAGCACTACATCGTCCGCAAAAAACATACACCAAGGGATGTCCCCTTATATGTCCCTTGTAACCGCATCCATCACTAAGGCAAATAGATAAGGACTCAAAGCTGACCCTTGATGTAGTCCTATCCTAATCGGGAAGTCATCTGTGTCTCCATCACTTGTTCGAACACTAGTCACAACATTGTTGTACATGTCCTTAATGAGCCCGACGTACTTCGTTGGGACTTTATATTTGTCCAAAGCCCACCACATAACATTCCTTGGTATTTTATCATAAGCCTTCTCCAAGTCAATAAAAACCATATGTAGGTCCTTCTTCTTTTCCCTATACCGCTCCATAACTTGTCTTATTAAGAAAATGACTTCCATGGTTGACCTTCCGGGCATGAAACCAAATTGGTTCATAGAGACCCGCGTTATTGCTCTCAAGCGATGCTCGATAACTCTCTCCCATAGCTTCATAGTATGGCTCATCAACTTAATTCCCCGGCAATTAGTACAACTTTGAATATCACCTTTATTCTTGTAGATCAGTACCAATATACTTCTCCTCCACTCGTCAGGCATCTTGTTCGATCGAAAAATATGGTTAAACAGCTTGGTTAGCCATACTATAGCTATATCCCCAAGGCATCTCCACACCTCGATTGGGATACCATCGGTCCCATCGCCTTACCTCCTTTTATCCTTTTCAATGCCTCTCTGACCTCAGATTCTTGGATTCTCCGCACAAAGCGCCTATTAGTGTCATCAAAAGAGTCATCCAACTGGAAGGTTATATCTGTATTCTCACCATTGAACAATTTGTCAAAATACTCTTGCCATCGATGTCGGATCTCATCCTCCTTCACCAAGAGATACTCCCTTTCATCCTTAATACACTTAACTTGGTTGAAGTCCCTTGTCTTTCTCTCATGAACCCTAGCCATCTTATAAATATCCTTCTCTCCTTCCTTCGTACTCAAATGTTGGTAGAGATCCTCGTACGCTTTACCCTTTGCCACACTTACAGCTCGCTTTGCAGTCTTCTTTGCCACCTTGTACTTCTCTATGTTGTCCACACTCCTGTCATGATACAAGCGTCTATAGCATTCTTTCTTCTTCTTAATAGCCCTTTGGACTTCCTCGTTCCACCACCAAGTATCTTTAGCCTCGCCTCCACTTCCTTTGATTACTCCACACACCTCTGAGACCACCTTCCAAATGTTGGTTGCCATCTTCTCCCACATGTTGTTTATGTCATTTTCTTCCTTCCAAGAGCCCTCTTTGATAACCCTTTCCTTGAATATCTCTGACGTCTCCCCTTTCAATTTCCACCACTTTGTTCTTTCAGTCTTAGCTTGTTTATCCCTACGGGCACGCACCTGAAAACGAAAGTCTGTCACTAAAAGCTTATGTTGAGAAACAACACACTCCCCTGGTATCACCTTGCAACCCAAGCATGCTCGTTTGTCCTTTCTTCTTGCGAGGACAAAGTCAATCTGGCTAGAATGTTGTCCGCTACTGAAGGTCACTAGATGAGATTCTCTTTCTAAAGAAAGTGTTGGCTATCATCAGGTCAAAAGCTACCGCGAAGTCCAGAACTTCCTCCCCCTCCTGATTCCTACTACCATACCCAAAATCTCCATGAACTGCCTCGAAACCTGCACTCGTAGTACCTACATGCCCATTAAGATCTCCTCCTATAAAAAGCTTTTCATTACTAGGTACAGCTCTAATCAGGCAATCTAAGTCTTCCCAGAACTGTCTCTTAGTACTCTCGTCGAGGCCTACTTGGGGGCCATACGCACTAATTACGTTCAAGACCATATTACCAATGACAAACTTGACTAAGATAATCTTATCTCCTTGCCTTCTCACTCCCACCACACTATTCTTAAGGCTCTTATCAATCAAAACTCCTACTCCATTTCTATTCGCGATTGTCCCTGTGTACCAAAGCTTGAAACCTGTATTGTCCACCTCCTTCGTCTTCTGACTCTTACATTTAGTCTCTTGAACGCATAATATATTTACACGCCTCCTAGTCGCGGTATCAACTAATTCTCTTAACTAGCTTCCTAAACGGATCCTAGTTGGTTCGACTAGCTTCCTTACCCTTCGCACCCGTCGACTCAGATGCGAAGACCCTTGCTCATTTTTCACTACACCCGGACGCCAATGTAGCGCGCCACTAAGGATGCGACGACCCGATCCTTGCTCACTTGACACCGTACCCAGATCGCGACACGGCGCGTCACGGGGGTGACGACCCGGCCCTTGCTCATTTAACACCATACCCGGGTTCCGATATGGCGCGTCGCTAAGAGGGTTACGCCCCAACGGTTTTCTTTTGGGTTTCATCTCCATTAAAATGGCTAGATTTAACGTTGGCTCGCTACGCCTATCACAACCCTCCTCCTTTATCAGGGCTTGGGACCTGCCAAGACCAATGTCCAAAAAAGTAATGTGATGCCTATCCACTGTGCTGAGGAGGACTTGGCTCTCATTCAGAATTTGTTGCCTTGTGAAGTACTGGATTTTCCTTGCAAGTATTTGGGCCTACCATTGACCATCAAAAAGCTGACCAAGGAGCAGGTCCAACCCATCATTGACAGAGTTGCAGATTAGCTACCTGCATGGAAGGCAGATCTGATGACACGTGCTGGCAGAGTAATTCAAGTACAGTATGTTCTCACAGGAATCCTAATCTATGTGGCCATGGCAACTGATCTTCCACCTTGGGCTATCAAAGCAATAGATAAGATCAGAAGGGCATTCTTGTGGAAGGGCCGAAAAGAAGCAAAAGGTGGTCACTGCCCCATTGCCTAGCCTAAAGTGTGCCGCTCCCGGGAACTAGGTGGTCTTGGGATAGCAGATCTAAAGTCTTTGGGTATTGCCTTAAAAGCAAGATGGCCGTGGCTTAAGCGGAGTGTGCCCAGCAAACCTTGGGCAAATCTGCCTATCCAAGTCAGTAAAGAGGTAGCTGGCCTCGTCTCTGTCACTGTGATAACAGAGGTGGGGAGTGGATCTAATACGCTTCTTTGGAAGGACAAATGGCTGGACGGTAAGGGAATTCAGGACATAGCACCTCTTGTCTTTGCACTGGTTCCTAAAAGAAGGCTAAGTAAGAGGACTGTGCTAGAGGCCCTAACTGAGGAGAAATGGGTAGAAGACATACAAGGTGAAACATGTATGACAGCCTTGTTTCAGTACCTAGAGCTTTGGGACATTGAATTCGGTGGAGTTGAATGATAATATTCCTGATAAGCATATCTGGAGGTTATCTTCTTCGGGACAATATACAGCAAAGAGCGCTTTATGATACCCTATTTCAGGGAGCAATCTCCTTTGAACCTTTTGAGAGAATTTGGAAATCCTGGGCACCCCCCAAATGCAGATTTTTCATGTGGCTTGTTGCTCACAACAGATGTTGGACAGCGGACAGATTGGCAAGGAGGGGACTCCATCATCCAGAACAGTGTCTTCTATGTGATCAGCAGGAGGAAAATATTCATCATCTTCTTGTGGGCTGTGTATTCTCAAGAGATTTTTGGTTCTCCCTCCTGTCACATTTTGGCGTTGCATCACTTGCTCCACAACCTTCCGACCATTCCTTTGATGAATGGTGGAGAAAAGTTGATAATGCTGCTAGTGGGGATTTGAGGAAGGGTCTGAATTCCCTAGTCATTCTGGGAGCCTGGAGCATTTGGCGGCATAGAAATGATTGCGTTTTCAATGGTGCAATCCCAAATGTTAATATGGTTCTGGCTTTGGCAAGGGAAGAGGCCCATTGGTGGAGCCTGGCAGGAGCTAAAGGGATCTCCCTTCTGACTGCCGGAGGAGCAGCCTAATGGGCTGCTGTAGCTGTTGGGTCGTCCTTTTGTTTTAACCAGTGATTTAGTTTTCATGTACTAGTGGGTGTGTGTGTGGGTTTGGGTCTATGTATGACTCTCTCTTCTTCTATTAATACAATGATACGCAGCTCTCCTGCGTGTTCGAGAAAAAAGAAGTTGAATTTGGTCTTGCAACATGCAGAAAATAAATTTGGTTGCAACCTTAATGATGTGTAGCCAATGTGCAATTTCATTGTTGTCTAATTGGACAATATATCCAAGAAGTTCAAAAAAATCATTCAAGTCAAGCCATTACAAGGGACGTAGTTGATCCTTAATATGTTTATTAAGATGCCTAGTTTTCAGTCATACAAAAGCCATGGCAGTTTCTCGTAAGCGTCATCCCACTAGGTCAGAATAGGCAGTGTTTGTCGGGGAAGCCGGCAATTCTCGCCCCAACGAACCTAGGAAGACACAGTCAAGAACAACGATGAACACTCTGAATGTTAAAAAAAATGATGAACACTGAATTTTTGGTGCTGTCAACTGGCAGCGTCTTCTGTGTATTGCTCTGTTATTTGAAGACTGATTACAGGAGCTAGAGATCGATTAAACTAGAAAGGCGGGCACGAACACCACCACAGTCATACCATCCCACGACGGACACCGACACTGCACAACATGCACAACTCTCGCACGAACACAGCATGCGTTGAGTGTGTAACAATCGTGCATGATCTCCCACAAACGAGTCATGCTCAATCCAAACTAACTTGCAATCTAAAGTAACTTCCAACTGAAACAAGAATAGGAAAAGCCAACTGAAACAAGAATAGGAAAAGCCAGCGAGCTCTTAGATGTAATCAAACAGTGTTTTCCTAAACACTAAACAGTAAATGGCCAATTAAATGGGCTAAACGACCGATTAAACAGAAATGGCATACTGCAATGTAGCGTTTACATGGTGTTTAAATGGGCTAAATGACTATTAGGCGAACAGTGAGAATAGGTGTCTCTTGAACATATGGATTGTATGTCATTATCAATTAGTCAGCAGGTATAAGTTGTGCGATCCCCTATACAATTCGACAAAATAACAATACTAAAAAGAAGAAAATAGAAGACAAATACCAAAAGATAGGCAGATCCCCTGCGTGTTTGAGGGGGGGGGGGGAAAAGCAGATAAGCATAACAACACCATAACATAGCTTATATGTAGTTTTCTATGTTCTTTTTTATTTGTTTCCTTTCAACTTCGTAGGCAATAACAGGTAACTTGAGGCAGTTCAGCAGCATTAAATGAGGAATTATAGGAAATGAGTTGATTGCATCAATGAATCACGCTACACAAAAATAATAATCATTTAGTTATGTCATATGCACTTTTTGTCTTGAACCAGCAGGAGAGCTGCCTGTCATTATATTAAGAAGAGAAGATCAAATACAAGAAAAATAGCCCAGCAGGGTTGAACACCCCCAGAAGCACACACGCTCCAAAGAAAAGAAGGAAAAAGGAAAAAGAAAAAGGAACACTTAAATGTCATATGCACTGAAGCTGACAATAAATGTAAGGAAACTCTTGCCCTAAGGATACCTTTCTTCCAATAATCTTTTCATCTTGTTTTCGTTTAGGTCCAGGACATTCATCCTGGAGTATTTGATGTGAACAGATCCCATGGTTTCCACAACAACTTGTTTGATCAATGGGGGCAATCTCCAATGCCAATTGACTAGTCGGTTGCTCTAACTTGTCGTTCCCAAAGTTACTGCAGCCTGCACATGTTATAGTTTGAGTTTAAGGTATCCTTACGCTTGTCAAGATTTACAAATATTGCAGGAGAATGAAATCAGTTTGTTAAAAAAGTTGAATACGGCAGGAGGACTGTGTATCATTGCATTAAGGAAAGAAATGTTTACAAGTGAAATCAATCAGTTAAATGTTTACAAGTGAAATCAATCAGTTAACTGCTGCCTCAGATTCCTAATGTATCTCCACAAATGTGGTCATGTATTTGATGTACAAAGTTTGCCTGCATGGATCACTAAACTATTTGTATGTTATACAAACTTATCTTTGACAAGTTAAATAAACACCATGCACTGAAGGTATAACTTTTGGTACAAACGACTGTTTGTAAGTTCTATTTTTAGCATACAAGGTTACTATGTTGTGGGATCAAAACTCAAGTGATCTGGTTATATATAAAAGAGAACATGTGAAATGCTTGTGTTTTTTGAAGGAGCCTCACCTAATGTTAATGCTCTCGTGCAAGAAATTAGGGATGAGGCAAATTTGTGGTGTATGGCTGGGGCTAAAGGTCTTAGGCATATTTGGCCGTAATGTGGTGTGGAGCTTAGGTCACTAGTTGAAGTTTCTTGTCTTCCTGTCTAATCACTTATGTAAACTCATGCCCTAATGGGCTTGTTTTGTGTTTTGAGTCTTCTTAGACTCCTTTTCTTCTTCTTAATATAATGATACGCAGCTCTCTTGCGTGTTCGAGAAAAAAAAAAACTGCAGGAAAACATATCTATACTTCTTTCTGGTTGACAGAAACTAATAAATAGTTGACTCCTTTCTAGGACCACATGATGCAAAATGAATCTAGGGAGAAAAATTCTGGACTCAGTACTAGATTACAACAATAACTGCAATGCTAATAGCTATGATCGAATTCCAGGACCAAGATTGAATGCTTGGCATGGATTAAGAAAAGATAGTTTCAGCAACCTACACAAACAATGAAACAAGACAAGCAAGCCGGCAAGAGAGTATAAAACACATGGTAATAGAATATGAAGGCATACGTCTGTAGCCCAAATTTATTCAATAAAAATGATGCTCATTGTATTTTCTAGTACTGGATATTAGAAAGTGTAAAATCACTATTCCACTGTCTTAACACTGTGATAAAGACTTAAATGTGACGAGTACTGAAAAGCATAAGCATGGCATCCTACTTTTTTCAAACATGTTGTGTGTGGTGTACTTGGGATTGTCCTTTTTCTTCTTCTTTAATATAATGATACATAGTTCTCCGAGAAAAAAAAATCACAAACAAATCATTGCACAACATTTTGTGCCTTCCCATGTGTACTTCTATTGTGTTTTCTAAAGAAAAAAGAGACAGCGGAGGCTGAATCGCATTCGATAACTATTGCTAAGGAATAGTAGTGCACAAGCTCTAGTCCTGTAAAACAGACCTCTGATTACATTATGACGTTTGTGTTCGTTGGATGCCATCTCTAATTCATACTTGCGCTTCCATTCAGCTGCATCTGCTTGAGCAGCAGCTTTCCCTTCTGCAACTCGTCGCAGCGTTTTTGCAACAGCTTCCATTGCAAATGTTAAGTCATATTAAACACATGAGTATAGTAACATATATACACATATTAGGCAATCGAGTATGCAATATTACTTCTCAAAGCTTCAGAGAACTCCTCAAGGTGTGCATCAGTTGATCTGATAGGAGTTTGAGGAATAAATGTATAGGCCGCCCTCTCTGACTCCACCAAACTAACTGTGGTTATGTCTCCATTTTCAGTTTGATTTGAGGTAGCCACATTAAAGTTTATTCTCTCATCACAAACCTGCAATATAAGAAATGCCATTAAGGGTTTAATGAGATATACAGATAATACAGGGATGACAGACTTCATGAGCTAATGAAAGTCAACATACTATTATATAAAAAGAAAGAGCAGTACAAGTCCAGTAGTTACTGGTAGAGGCACATCAACCGATAACTCCCAATATCACAGCATCAGAGCATCACACATTCTTCTCCCAAATCCCCAATGAACACTAGTTAACACGCAAACATTTCCCTTATTTCTACCATCAAGGTTTAGTGGTTTGTTGAACCGTGTCTAAAATAAGCAACCCCAGGTGAACCCCACCGATATGAAATCATGGTGGGAAGAGGTGGCAACGAAAGTACCAAGATCCGAGCGTAGGCGGCTTACCGGGGTGGTGATCTACACCTTCTGGAACATCTTGAAAGAGAGAAATAGAAGAATCTTCGACAACAAGATAGAGACGGTACCGCAGGTGGCCGCAAGGATAAAAGAAGACATAGAGCAAAGAAAGAGAGCACTCGATTATGTGTAGTGTTTGCCCCCAACCATTTTGGGTGTTTTGGGCAGTGCGTTTCCCTATTTGGCATGCTTCTGGGGTTTGAATCCCTAACCTTGAGTGCCCTTATCTTGTACATAAACTTTCTTTTCCACATCTTAATTGAAAGGCAGTGCTCCTGCCATTGCGTTCAAAAAAAAATACTTCTCCAAAAAGTAAAGTTTTTTTTAAGAAGTCAGCTTCTCTGTTTTAAACCTAGCCATCCACCACCGTTGCAGGCCAGGGCCCCTGGCTACATTGGGACAGCAGCATACCATGACACTTCAGAATGGCGCATTACCCAAGCCCCCAACTGAACCTGAATTCCCACAAAAAAATCACCGGGCTGAAGCTACGGCCCCTTTCCACCGCGACACAAAAGGGTTAAAGAAAACCACCGCAATTCCGCTCTCCATTACAACCTGGAGAGCACGAATCACCTTTTACTAACAAGACCGATCTGAACCAAACGCATGCGGCCAGAATTTTTCGGGGGATCCAATCGCACGAACCCAGGAATCGAACGCGAAACGAATTCTAAGGGAATCTCGCAGCGGTGCGTACCTCATCCGCGGCGGTGAGCTCGTTGGCGGACATCGTCGCGCCGTTAGCCCGTTATCATCAAATCTTCCTTCTCCTACCGGAACCCGGAAAGGAGCGAAAAGAGGAAGCACTACCGCCCTGTTCGCCTGTTCGGGGCTGTTCGGTTATTAACGGGGCCACGTGGCGTTATTAAGCCTGGCTGTGACGGCTGGAGACGGTGACAGGTGGGGTCCAGCTTTCCAAGAATGCAGACGCGACTCCACTCGACACGTGTCTGCGTCGGTGCATCCGGGTGCTGGCTCCATCGTGCTCGGACTACCAACTTCACAGGTATGTCCATCTGCCATTTATCACCGTTGCTAAAAATGTTTTTCAGACAACCTTAAGAGCATGACAACTCGAGGAGACTCTCTTTATCCTAATGGCTAGTAATAAAGAATTTGGTAAGAAAAATATATTCAATCAGCTTGTCTAAATATAGTCATCCTCTATTACAAATTTCTCGCTAGTCAAAATGCCAAAGGGACGACAAGATTCACTCTTTAGGGCACGTTTGGATCGAAAGATCCGTACGGGAATTTCACATGAGTAGGAATCACATGAAAGAAATAGAGACATGCTCGAAGGAACGTAACCTTCCATTTCATAGGAAAGGTATCCATACATACAAACACACGGGAACAAAAAAAAACACTCCGACCCAAAGGGAACGGAGGGAACGCATCTGCGCTCGCTCTCTCGACTCTCCTGCCACTGCCTTTCTCCTTCCCGCCATGGCCTAATCCCTAGCCACGAGAGCACGCGGACACGCTCGCCGCCCTCCAGCTCGGACAGATGACAAATATGCGACTTCAAAGTGCATCTGGGGGACAAAAACCAACTCCACCCCTTCCGTCTGCAGCACCAGAACAAGGTCTTGGCGTTCCCCAATCTAGAGGGGATGGCGCAGATCTCACAAGAAAAAGGTAATCAATTTGATAACTGAGTAACCCCTTGCTAGAATTTCTTCCATGCTTTTTGTTATAGACTGGTTGGGATCTCCTTCATAGGTAGAGTCCTAGATTAGATATGAAAATACTAATTTATTTTATTTTTCTCTAATTCAAGATTGCATCTGCTAGTTTGATAATTCCAATGCATGGTTAAACTCCTAAAGTTTGTTTATCATATAAAACATTGCCTTTCCTCCATTGCATTTTTTTAGTCGGTGGTATTCATCTTTCCCAATATTATTTTGAAACTGATAATTTGTGTATTTGAAATTATGTTAGGCACCACAAAAAATGTTGCTAGAGCAAACTGGATCATCAGATGAAGCTTTATCTTATTGGACTTTTAAAACAACACGATTTACCAGGATTTCGGACAACACAAAGCATGGAGCAAGGAAGCATGGGCTAGTATGGTTGATCAGTTCAATTCAAGGTTTTCTTTAGCATTCACTGTGGCTCAAGTAAAACAAAAGGAGCAAGATTTGAAGGAGTATCAAGTTGTAAATGATTTGGAAGTATGGAGCAAATTTAGGTTATCTTAAGATCCGATGATGGTGCAGAGAAGGTAGCCGTATGTAGTTGTATGTGAGTTGTGTAAGTGGCGGCTTATTATTTATCCACTATGTTGAAATTGATTGTAACACCCCGGTGTTATGCCTACATTTAGGCACTGCTAATCATACATATCATGCATCATCAAGCATCCTAATCATACATGCCTAATCATGTAAATAACAATTGAAACACTGCTTCGAAACATTTGAAACATGTTGTGAAACCTGAATGTGCATACTTTTGTTAGACTTGTTCTGTCCTGATTTTGCTTGCTAAGTTAGTAAAACATGTTTGGCTACTATTGTAAATCATCTAGCAATGTTTAGTTTAATTTTTGGAACAAAGTTTGTATTCAAATTAATTCAAAATTTGGCTTCAAAAATAAATTCCAAAAAATTAGGGTTTTGAGTTAAACGTGGACTTTGACCTTGCAATTCAAAATCTAGAAAGAATTTGGCTGTGGTCATAAAAGCAAAGTTGTAGAAAATTAAATTCTAAGCAACTTTTATTTTTGGTACATTTTCAAAAGATGTTATTTTCTTGCTCAAAATAATATTTGAAAGATGGCATTTAAAATTCCTTGAAAATACAAATGAAAAAGGTTTTTCCTCCTTGGCAGCCGCCGCACTTCCGCCCACGATCAAGCCGGCCCACCAAGCATTCCAGCGCCACGCGCCTCGCCGCCGCTCTCGGCCCACATTGGCATTGGCTGGCCGCTCTCCCTTTGCCCGCCAGCACGACGTTGCACTTGGCATACCGATCATGGCAGAGCGTGCGCTTGCAGGCGTGGCGCCATGCTGTGCGCGCGGCGCCAGCCGCGCATCAGCCTGGCTCGCGCCCGCGCGCCAGCGCGCCGCCTACACTGCTGGAGCCGGTGCGCTCGCTCACTCCTCTCCTCTGTTGCCTTTCCTCTCCTCCGCCAGAGCCGAGAGCCCTAAGCTCTGCTCGCTCATGCGCCACGCACCACCTGCGCGCAATTCGCGCATGGCTCTCTCCCTCACCTCGGCAATCGCAATCACGCGCCCGCAGCTCCGCCTCGCCCTCCTTCAAGTTGTGCTCGCGTTTGCGCCACTGCCCGAGCTCGGGTAGAGCCGCCTCGGCCCTCGCCATTAACGGCCATGGCGCGCCGTGCTTTCGGCCGCCATGGAAGTCACCTCTCTCTCTTCTCGGCCCGCTTAGTCAGCTGCCCTATCGCGATTCGCCATCTTCTCGCAGATCCCGTGCGCCCGCCCATTCGCCTCGCCATGGCGGAGATGGCCGCCGGCCTCGTGGCCGAAGCCATGGCTTGGCAGCTGGCCAACATAAAGCCACAGAGCCTCGCCTCAGGACCGGTAGCAGTGCCGAGTGGCCGTGACGACGCCGCCGGGCCGTCTTCCCCCCTCCCTTGCGTTCGGACACAGCAGAATAAAAGCGGCCGTGGGCCACTGATTCAAAGCGGACTGGCCAAGATGGCGTTTAAAGAAATTGTTTTCAATTTATTCTTTATTATTTGAAAATAGATATGGTTTGCAAAATGTTTGGATACTCAAAGTTGCTCCAAATCTGTTGAACTAAATTTGTCTAGGTTCCTTATCATCAGATCTACTTGGGAAAAATTGTGCATATCATTTTTGAGATACTTTGCTGTAGAATTTTATTTAATCATGAATATTGCTGATAACTTGAAAAATATGTAGAAAAATCTATAGGCTTCAAAAAAATATGATTTCAAGTTTGTTAATCTTCTTATGTCATGTATTTTCTAGGAAAAATATGTTTCATGCATGTGCTGTGGGAAAATTTTGAGGTGTAGTTCAAGCACCTTTAATAGCTGATTTTTGTTATTTTAGCTAGAGAGCAAACTTTGTATAAAACATGCATGTGATAAATTTTGTACAGTCATTGTATGCTATGAAGAACATAGGAAAAATACTAATTCTGTTGTTTGACACTTTTCACAGTACAAAGTATTTTCATGTTCATGATCATGCCATAGCTTGTCATTTTTGTGTAGACTATTTTACTTATCCAAACGCCATTAAAATTTTATGGTAGTCTACTTAGAGTAGTACTATGCTACTGTAATTTTCTTAGATTTTTATAAGCACCAGAAATATAGGTTGCTGTTGTAGCCCTAGTTTAAAATGAAATAAAATAATCCTCTTTAATGCAAGTTAGTTAATAATGTTAGCTTTGGTGTATCTTTGAAGCATTTAATAAGATGTGTTGACTTAACCTATTAGTAGTAGAAGAGAATGCAGTAGATGATATGTGCTTGTAGTATATTTTCTTGGATGATGTTGACTACCTTGCATTCAAACATATCCATTGTATTCATCTCATCCGATGCACCGATTGCATAAGCACTTACACGCATTGCATCATACTGGGATCGCAAACCGAGAACCCGGTCGTCATACCCGAGGAGCCCGAGGAGCGATTCGAGTGCAGTGCAGAAAGTGCCGAAGCCAACGAGGAGGACGTTGAGGAACTTCAGAGTGCCACGATCACCGTCCGAGCTCCTTCGAGAGAGGCAAGTCCGGAGCATTTTTCTCCGGTTTGCAATGATTTAATTAAATGCTTTACTTTAATTGATGCATTACGTTCAGGAGTTGTTTGCAACCGTTCTTTGCATTATACCTTGTTTACCTTTGTTATACTATATCCTTGTTACCCTAGTATCCGCAGATTGAGTCAATGCTTAGTTGGCTTAGACCGGTAGAAGTCGGGTGATTTTCGTCACTGCGAGCTATAGGTGGTTACCTAGATTTGCTTGGATGACTATGAAGTCATGGTATAACTAAGTGTTAAATAAAGTTGAGACCGGACGGAGACTTGCGAGTTTTGACCGTAGTGTTTCCGTCATGTCGATTAAGGACCGACCATTGTTGGGCCTCGAGTCATGTTGAACGCATGCCTTACATTTAGTGGCGGATAAAGTACCTTCCGACCCATGAAGCCGGGAGATTTTTGGGCCGAGTAGATTGCCGCAGCGTCTTTGTGCTTGGGAAGCGGTGTGGTAGGACACGGGGCGAGATGATAAGACCAAAGTGCAATGCGGTCGATCGCCCCAGTACATGTGGTTCTGGCAAACTCGAGATACCGGAAAGTTGACTCGGTGATCAATATCTCACTTTAGCGGGTGAGTGAGGTTTGTGTAAGGAATAAATCACCAGCTGGTTAGGAATCGATTCGAATCGCCATCGCTCCTGGATAGTGAGCACTTGACTTGAGTTACTTCATCGTAGTAAAATGTTTATGGAACACTTGGACAGTTATAGTGAATATGACAGTATGGAAGTTGTTTAATGATCAGTGGTTATCATTATCTGCTTAATCATATGTGTGCTCTAAGTATAGGTGCAAATCTAGTCAACATGTTAATAATAATTAACTTGACAATAATGCTTTTAGAAGGGTTCTTGAAATGCTAAAAATGCTTCTTTTGTAAATGAGTCAGCTACCCTACTATAAAGCCTTCATAATCCTTGGTGTCATTTATTTTCGGTTATATCGGGTAAGTCTAGCTGAGTACCTTCTCGTACTCAGGGTTTTATTCCCACTTGTTGCAGATGGGCAGATGTATTACGGCTACTGTATCAACTGCCTGTATCCTGCGATGGGTGATGCTTAGGACCATGGGCATGGTCATTCCTTACGTCTCGTCTAATGCTTTTGTTGGAGATGATCATTATTTGGCACTATATTTGAACTCCGCGCGAGAGTGTGTGTGGTTTGAACAAATGGCTTCCGCTACTTTTATTCGAACTGGTTTTGTAATAACTATGTTTAAACTCTGATGTATCTGAGATGCAAACTTTTATGTAATATGTGATGGTGACCGCTAAACTTATTACGATCTTGGCTGGAATGGAAGTTGGTTTGAAATCTTTCGTGATTTCACGGACTACCGGGTTATACGGGCTTAAGTTTGCTCAATCGTCTGCTCTGGCGGATGATTTTCTTACTTAATTTCGTATAATTGGTCGGTTCTGTTACATTGATCTTGCAATATTCGATCGCCTGCATTTTTTATATGGCATAAAGGAATATGCCCAACTGCTCTTCCACAGATAGGTACCTTCAATCAACAACAATGTTATTTTCACGCAATCTTTTAACAAGAGCTTGAAAAATCTCTCTTTTCATATGGAACTGTCTTCTGCACAGGGCATCATTGCCTGTTAGAGTTTCATGAATAAATGTGGCTCCATTTTGGATAGAATCGTGTATTGCTTTCTTTTCGGATGATTGGGATGAGGTGCCTTCTTCTAGTGCTGGGTAGATGAGGAAAATGAATTCATCTTCATTTTGTGATCGTCGGCGATAGTTTGAATCCATAGAATGAAAAGCACCTCCAATCCCTACAAAGATGGCTGCTAGCACCAGGATGAGAGATGTGCAACTATGCAAGTCTAAAGAATGAACACATACGTGCGTTTGTGCGACTACTTGTCTTGCTAGTCTGGATGGGAGGTGCAACACTCCAATGTATGCAGCAGCATGCTTATATAGCGACGAGAAGCAAGCAATGGCTAGAATGCATGAACAGTTCAGACCAGGCAAGCAAGCAACGGCTACAGGCTAGAATGCATGATCAGTATCAGACCAGGAAAGAAAGGCAACGACTATTAGTGTATACCAACGGCTACTTTGTTCATTGGAAAATGTGAACATTCAAATTTATTTCCTGCAATCCAAACGGTCTACATTTTTCGTTCCTATGGTTTACAATCCTATAGTTTTCCGCTTTTCACTTTCCTCTATTCCTACGTTTCATATCATTCTTCTGTTTTGCATTGCTTTGTTCTAAAAACAGGTCCTAAATACACACAAGATATAGAAAAACTATTGGAGAGTAAAAAGATACAAGAAACGATTTTTATTCAATGACTTTCCAAATAATGGTTTAGAGAATACGTTTTAGAAAGTCTCCTGAAGATGCTCTAAGTAAAATTTTAGTTTTTTTATTTTATGAAAATCATAAAGTATCGTTTTCTAGGTAATGAAAAAGTTGTCTTGACCCCGCTTAAAAAACCTATACTTTATAATTTTTCCTAAAAAAAGTTATTGGGATAGTCCCCTCTTTAGCTATAAAAAACTGGATGTTTGTCCTCTCAAACTATTAAAACCATTTAATTTATCTCCCTGAGTGGTTTTGAAAACAGTTTTTGTTAACGTGGCGCCACATCGGCAACAAGAAAGGTGAATCGGACATTCGAGATAGTTCAGGGGATCAATTATACTTATACAAAAATTATAGAAATATTTTTTCAAAAATTTATCCAAATATTTTTCTTGAATAAATATACATTTAAAAAAATACTAAAATATGATTTAATATAAAAAACCATAGAAAATTTATTTTAACTCAAAAGTTACAAAACTCCCTAAAATCATTCTCTATGTTTTTTTAGAGTTGGGAACATAGAGCATGATTTTAGGAAAACATATGAAGTCTGGCGTCCCGAGCTCATTCAAACTGGCTTTCTACTTATCATGTGCTCTCGTCGCATGCGAAGACCTATGCCGATGATAATGAATGAGGAAAATCGCGTCTATCCGGATACTGTCCAGGAAGTCATAGACGTTAGAGTCGAGAATTTGTATGCCGTTGCTGCTGATGGTCCAATCATTCTACATATGTCATCGTTGTGATGTTCCTCAAACAAGACACTGTATCTACAAAGTTAAACCACATGGTATACACATGTTGTTAATGTGCAATCAAAGCTTGAATTATATTTTTATTTGAACTCCCCCATGCATGTCTCGATGGTTAAGCTAGACATTGCTGCTAAGAAAACGTTTTTGTTTGCAGTTTTGTCATGGTGGGTTGCACATTAATTCACGCTGCAGCCTGCAAGAATTTGTCTTTTTATGCGTATCCTTCATTTCATATTTAGCTAATTTTAAATTTTAGAGGACCATATGAGATTCAACTAATTCTGTGCAAGAAAGAAAAGGTAGCGCGTGATTTAGGGAAAAATATAAAACCGCTTTCATATTTTTTTCTGTGTTGAAACAAATTTTATATAAATTTTCTAGCATTAAATCAATTTTTAGTATTTTAAATGCATATTATTCTAGAAAAATATTTGATATTTCTTGGAAATTTATTTCTACAAAATTTTAATAAAGTTTAATTGACCTATCTAAACTATCGTGAAAGTCTGATTTTATCTCCCTTATTATTGATGTAGTGACGTGGCACCACATAGGATGATTGTTGTGGCACTACATTAGGTAAAACTACTTTTAAAACCACTCACGCCTTATTTGCATATAGTCGTATTCACATCAATTCACGTATGTTGGAGTGAATTGGAGTGGAACTTAAATTAAATTTCACCCCAATCCAACCAAACATATGTGAATTGAGGTGAATTTGACAACATTGGATATAAATTGAATGGTTTTAATAGTTGGATTGAGGAGTGAAATACTTTGTTTTATAGTTGAAGAAGGTAATAGAAAATTATAGTTTTCTTTACGGAGAGACTAGCGTCTGGATGCCCGCGGGTTGCGCCTGCTGAGGACGCCTATGGATGTAGCTTCGTGCTCCGCGCCGGCTACCTGCGCATGGATGTAGCTTCGCGCTCCGCGTCTACTGCCCGCCCATGGATGCAGCTTTGTGCTCCGCGCTTGCTGCCACGCCCGTGGATATAGCTTTATGCTCCATGCCTGCTGTCGTGTACGCTTTGCTTCCTGCGCGCACGCGGGGACCGCTGTGCCCGAGGGGACCATCTTCGCCGGCGCTCCCTTGCCGTGCCTACTCATGGAACACTTGTAATATAAAGCATTTGCTGCAACATACGTTTAAAACAGATGAAATATTTACAATTACAACATACACTTGAGACATTTTGTATGGGCACTACAACATATGCAATATCGAGATAAAACACTTGCAACATACATTTGAAACAGCTGAAACATACGCTTGCAACATATGTGTATAGCCAGTGCAACATATATAACATCCATATAAAAACACTTGCAACGCACGTTTAAAACAACTAAATTTTTTGAAACATACACTTGCAATGTATGTGTATAGTCATTGCAACATATGCAACACCAGATCTTCTTTTGCAACATTCAGCTAAAACATATGCAACAAACATCTGAAATGCATGAAACATACAGTTGCAACATGTGCTCGTCTACTTGCTGCTCTCAATAGACGCTCATTGACGCGAAGCTTGACACCGGCACAGAGCTCAAGGTCGCCCAGGTCGACAGGCGGATGGATTGCGGCCGCGGTAAGAAGCGCGAGGCACGGACGAGGGTCGGTGGCGCGAGACGCGAGATGCGGGGGACGCACGGCGCGTCCGACACAAGGCACGTACAAGGGTCCGCGGCGCGAGACGCAGGGGCAAGCGGGTCGGTCTCGTCCGGAAAAACGGACGTCCTGAGAGTATCATTGTTTCCGGACGGCCTGAGAGTATCACTATCATTTTTTTATCTGAAAACGACAACGATACTTGAGGGGTTAGGAGGACTTTTTCCTCTAGGTAGGTAAGTCGGAATAGAAAACCTTTTCACCTTTTTTTTAGAAATAGAAAACCTTTTCACCTGATAACTGGAGTAAAGCGGCCAACAACTAGAGTACTAGATTACTGGGCTTTGGGCTATATGAACTTTCAACCCAAGCCCAGCTCCGAGCTCTGGCACTCTGCCACATAGGTCCACGCTTCCACCAGCCACTCCCCGTCGCCGACCTCACCCGCCTCTCCATGGACAGCGGCCGAGCCGCAGCCGTCGGCGGCGACCCATCTCCCATCGCTGCTCCTTCCAATCCCCCGGCGCTGAGCAGCAGGCCCGTCGATGTCTCCTCGTTCACCCACACCCCGTGCTACTGGTGACCAACCCCTTTGCCCATTTTCTCGATCCATAGTTTCTCGCAGTAGATTCAAGTTACATGGTTATCCACTAGGAATTATTTCCATTCTTCTGAAACCTTGTTTCCCGTTCCATCTCTTCTGATCATGGAAGAACTTCGAGTTGGAGGTGAGTAGTTTCTGTATAAAGAGTTATTTGCCAGAACCCAGAACGGACAGGGCACTGGGGCAGTCGTCCCTGCCCACGTTTTCACCTATGGGAACTGTACTGGGTAGACCGGTAGAGGTTAGTCTACTTGAAAGTTGAAATTTAGTGTGTGTCCATCAGTCCATGATATGTTTAATGGGAGTGGGAATTAGTATAATGCAACCCCTATCATTTGCCTAGTTGCTGTTTTGGAGAGTTCATAAAAGACTTTCATCTTGGTAGTCATGTCCTGTGGAAATTAGCGCACTCATCCTATGTGATTTTTAGTTCTGTGATAAGACTTTATAGAGATATAATCACATTATCTTATCCTGAATACCATATCCAGTGCACCTGGATGAGCTGTTCTTTGCTGTAACATCCTACAGATAATTGAGGCTTGGATACGGATGCAGTAACATGCATGGGGATGGGGAGACAGAATCATTGCAGCCTAATGATCATCATTCTTTGCGTTTGTAGTTTACCCAACTCAAAGCATTGTGCTAACCACATATTCTGAAAGATACCACTGGTGATTATTGGCATGATAGAAGCAAGCAAAACCAATACATGTATACTTATAATTTCTCATAGACTCCATTGTTTTCGAGAAAAAAAATAATTTATTGATTTATACAAGTTCCTACTGACTAACTTTAAACCATGATGCTTTAGTTTTGTTATGATTCAAGTAGCACATCAAATGACTCTGTGATGTATGGGCAGACTCTTCCATCATGCGTAGCACATGAATGGTAGAAACAGATCTGACTTCTTGTCTTCTGCCTTGGTTTAACGAGAGTGATTCATTTCAAAACAAGGAAAAAGAGAAAGAAAAAAAATGTTAGTAGTCAATTAGTGCAATTCTCAAGGCATAGGTGGCCCACACCTGAGATTGAAAACTATAACTGCATAATTATTAGTGATGCCGCTTCAGTGGATTACCATCAACTTAGAAGTATTTGTATATAGAATAACTTTATTTTATAAATCTGTCCAAGTTATGTAGACAGTATGGTTTAGTTGGTTTCTTTTCATAAGTTCCAAGATTATTCCAAAAGTTAAGCTTTTATCTCCAGATATGCTTTTGAAGAAGGCTGTACATATTGTGGCGGATTCCTCCAGTCAAAGTTATCGTTTTTGTATTACATAAAAAACCTACCAAACCATCGTATTTAAGGTGCAATGCATATACTTGTGTTTTCTTTATGTTTATTTCATTCATTTACATTTGGTTCTTGATGTTCCTTTGTCTATTTTTTTTATAGTTTACATTATTTTTCCTCATGTGACCTTCAATAACCCATACAGAATGTTAGAGTATATTTGGTAGTTAGGGATATTGTAATCCCATATTGTCATGTGTATTGGTGAGGTGTCTTGCCCTCCACCCCCACCACGAACCTTTAGGGTTTTGATCCTGAGCCAAGGCTTCTGCTGCTGTCGCCACTGTGTCGCCCCTGGTGAGATCGATCTCCGCCAGGGCAGCGCTCCCATAGGAAGGTTTTGGCTGTGGATCTAATTAATCCGCTGGCTTAGTGTCGAGTAGCAACAGATTGTTGGGCCACCGCCGCCGTGGGCATCAATGGGCTGCTGAGCTACTCTTCGTCGTCGATCCTCCGCACCGCCCCATCGAGTCGCCGTCGTTGAGAACCGTTGCCCCCTCCCTAGCCGCACCTGATCCACCTCCCCTCCCTCCTCGGTGACGCTGCTGCTGCCCTTGAGCGCGAGCGCGAGCACGTGGCTACAGAGGAGGCCCTTGGGGACGCGGGGTGCTGCTGTTAGGGGTGTCAATCCGCTGCCGTTGGGGACGCCGGGTCACCGCACAGATCATCAGAGTGGACTTTGGACCCTCAGGAGTGGACGTTGGACCATCGTGCTGCCCCAGGCCCGTGGCCAATATCTGATCTGTTGCTGTGTTTTTTCGTTTTGCAATCAGAGATTGGGATTGCGTCACCTTGTCTACCGATCCCTTGACATATGTTCGTCGAATCTCTCAATGACAATGTTGTCATTGTGTGCCTTCCCAGGCAGCAATGACGCTGCTCATGGTCAAGCGGTCAAGCCATCTTCACGGTCGCCACCTATCCATGTCGGTGCCACCCATACTGCTGGCCCTCCTTGTCACATTGGATCTCGATTCGACTTGAGCCTATTGCCGCCATCCGGGGACTTTGTCGCCGATGTCGCTGACGGATGACACGTGAGTGCTTGTTGATACGTCTGAGTAGCCTGGTCTACCTTCGCTATCTGGCCGTATCTTTGATATGCTGCGGTTGTCGGCAGAACGCTAGTGACTGTGTACTCATGTGCTTCTGTTAATGCTTTGGACTTGCCTCCCTCCATGGCTTCGACCACGTCCACCTCAACCTCGGCTACTTTGGTGAAAAAAAGGGCTATCATCACCATGAGCTACTTGTTGGTTTCTACTTCAGTCTCAGCATCTACATTGCGATGTCGCTACAACTGCAGGGACATGTTAGTCTTCGCTTCTTCTCTAGTCTGACCGTCTGCGATGTTCCTGCTATGACTGCAGGGATGTTAAGTATAGTATATCTGGTAGTTACAGATACATTGTAATCCTATATTGCCATGTGTATCGTGGGATTCGTGGAGACATCTTGCCCCCAAGTCTTGTAGTCTATTTATATCGCCCGAGGGCTCAGTGCAATATATCCACAAATTATACGCAAATCCCTCCTGCTTTCAAAGAATACAAAATATAATTGCTGTTTATATTTGCCATTAACAGATGAATTTCATTTCCTCCATGTAGTGAAGAAAATGTTTACATGTTATGTAAGGAGCTTATTAGAACCGGAGTGGCTGATCCTGCGGGCACTGATCTTTATGTTGTTTTCATATCAAACGAGGAAAAAAAGGTGATTTATTGCATATTTTTCTATTGTTGGAGATCTTATTTTCCTTTAGTTGGAAATTGCCCTTCCATTCATATCTGACATGATACATTTTTTGCCATCAGGTTCCTCTCTGGCATCAGAAAGCAGGCCATTCTGACGACGGATTTATTTGCTGGGATTATCATGTGATCTGCATCCAGGTAAAGCTAACTAAATTGCTGTGGTATTTTTCTTTAGTTTAGTATGTACTGCTGACATAAAAGCAGTGCATTTTTTTACCATGTAGTGTTTCACGGTATTTCTTGATGTGCATATGGAAGTCTAGGCGAAGCAAAGGAGAAGTTCTTGATTTTGTTTGGGATCTGGACTCCGATCTTCCTTTCCCTTCCCCATTCATCCAATATGTTTCTGATGCGATTCAACCACTATCATTCAGCAATTCCAGATATGCAAGGTAAATGATGTTACTTTTGTTGTTACCGGTATAATTGTTTATTTGTTTTGTAATACAGTTTATGAGGTAGCAACTAAATGGGAAGCCTTCTCCTTGCATATGTGCCTGTTAAAACTTTGCAATCTGCTTGGACAAACTCTGTTTGAAACTTTGGAATTTAGGAATCAGATGATTTTTGTTGCAGCATTTAAGAACTCAGTAATAAATAGATCTATCCATGTTTAGAATTATATTAATTGTATTGGTTCATATTTTGGGGGTCATATCATAGTGTGCATGCAAGATTGCAATATCATGCATGAGCATGACCATATAGGTGGAAAGGAGGCTTTCTACAGCATGGGTTGATTTTTTTCTTTTTTGTGAAGATCATGTTTTTTCTTGATTCTTGGTTGAAAGTGGGCAGCATAGTTTATACTTAGGTGTGGACAATGTGGCTAGAGGCTCATCTTCCTCTGCAAGGCAAACCAACCATTGTGTCTCTGTACATCTAAATTGGGGAGTGGCATTGTTTATGGGACTGTATCTGTGCCTGAAAGATACAAGTGCATATATGATTGTGTTTTGTTTTCCTGGTACAACTTACTATAGTTCTCTCCCATATATTGTTTGCAGACTCTTCCGTGTGATTCATGCTCCTGTGTTTCTTCGATCGTTTGCCTCAGATAGAAGCCATATGAAGGATCCTGAGGGGAACTGGATTCAGTTACCCCCAAAATATGAACCAATTGTAGCTGAAGGTAGTGAACTATATGTCAGTCATCATTTTTTGTTCCAAATTCTTTTTTTTGTGTGAACTACATAGTACAACACAGACACTCACAACGCACGCACACTCATCCCTATGAACGCACGCAGGCAAACCCTACCTCTATGAACATTTTCGAAGACTGAGCCGGCAAATCACTCTATTTTTCTTATTTTGGAAATGAACTCCTGCATCATCTTACCCCCCCTGGTTATCTCAACTGTATAAAAGCTAAGCTGAAATTATGCATAGAATTCCATCCAATTTGATACTAACATGATGGATTTATATTGAACCCTTAAGTATACAATACATTTGAATGTGAGAAGTTCTGTTTTCTTGCTTGTATCTGAACTTGATACTCATCCACGATAGAAGATGGCTCACTCTTCTGTGCTTCCGTCATGCCTGTTTCAGATGGAACCACCGATAACCTCAATGAGTACATCATGATGTGTGTGGAGGATGTGGCGGACTTAGAAAGTATGGCTAATGATGTTTACTACAACAAGTATGGTGTGGTGGTAAATGAAGCGATCTTGCCTAAATTCTTCGCCCAGCTGCCTGGTCCACATACTTAGCAAGCGCTCTTCCTGTTTCTCAAAGCAGCACCAGGATTTTCTATTGTGGAGGGTTACTCTGTACACTTCCATAGTGCACTCACAAGATTATGAATTAGAATAGAGTAAAATGCACCAAAGGTCTATTAACTTTTGAGGGAGTGTTATCTAAACTTTTTTATCAACTCTCAAACTGTTTATATTTTATTTTGGGCCTCTAAACTTTTCAAGTGGCCGCTCC